ATAATTTTCCTCCTCCAAAGGGAACTCATTATCGTGGGCATGCTGGTTACAGCTGCTTGTCTGCTTTATTTAGGTTCTTTTCTTTTGCTTTTTGAGACAGGATCTTGCTATGCAGTTCAGACTGACGTTGAACTCACTAGTAGCCCAAGCTGGCCTCAGACTTGTGGCAATGCTCCTGCCTTAGCCTCCTGACAGGTGTGCGTCACTATGCCTGGCTTTTATTTAGGTTCTTGGAAGATCCTCCTGGGATACTATTCTGTGCTGACAACCATTTTCTTGTATTTTGCCATGAACTTCTAGCTATGGTTGCTGCTGCTGAGAAGTTAATTAGATTCTTCATGGTTGTGCCTCTGTAATAGTCTTTATTTTCTGCAACTCCTTCTCAGGGTAGATGTTGGTCTTTGGTGTTAGATACTTAGGTTTTGGAATGTCTAAGGTGGGTTTCTTTTTGTTTACCTTGCTTACGGTTAGCTTGGATTTCTAAATGTGAGGACTGGTTCCTCTTAGTAATTTTGGAGCACTCTAAGGGTGCCCCTTAGCTTCCTCTCCATTCTGGTGTCTCCTGTGGTATATTCTTCTCTATCAGCCTCCTTCCAGTTTCCCAGACATTCCTGTGCAAGCAAGTCACACTGTCCAGGGCTGTGAATGCGAAGGTCTGTCCTGCCGCGGCAGCTGGAGGACTGATGCACCAGACCGTGCAGCTGGCTGGCTCCAGGAGCGCTGCGCTTTCCTTTGATCCCAGGGGGAGGGGCAGGGAAGGCTGCTTGGGCAGCTGGTTCTGGGAGCCTCAGGGGCAGCAAGTGGAGCCAGAGGAGGCCTCTCCAGTCCAGGTGGGGAGGCCAGAGGCCCCGAGTCCAGAGGCATGGACTTTGGCTGGGTAGCCACGGACTGAGGTGTTGGCTCTTTCTTCTTTCACTGTCAACAAGAGGGTTGCCCTCAAGCACTTCTCCAAAGGGTCATGGAAGGACACAGTGAATCAGCAAGAGGGCAAGCCCTCCATGGTGAACTGCGCAGAGCCTGCAGCACCCAAATGGCCACTCTCCACAGTGTGACTGTGCTCAGCCTTGGAGGCTCTGTGACCAGTCTGGGGAGGGCACCACAGGTGCAGGGTCTGGCTGTGTACCTCTAGGCTTTCTTTTGCTATGACACATGCCATCTTAATTTCCGCATGACACACCAACAGAGAACAACCTTCCTAGCAGACCCCGGTGCCCATCTAACTCCACATGTCCTCTGTGGCATGTAGGGAGTGCCCGCTTTCCTATTCACTGCCCTTCAGCCCTGCCAAGGGACCTCAAGAGTTTTCACTTCCTCCAGTGTGAAACTGGCCGGCTCAAGTAAAATAGCATGGTGCTCAGATGAGACAGCACAAGCTCAGGTGAGATCACAGATAGCAATATCTCTATGAACATTAAAGTGCTGTTATTTTTACTTTTGCTTGCTTGAAACACCCCCTTTAAATGGTGGGATGCTAAGTAGCACAGAGATTTGGAAACTGTGAAGATTAGTTATAAAGATTCATGGATAGGAGGGAATTTTTGAAGTTCATTAGTGTTAGATCGGGTGGTTTCACCTTATAGCCTGAAGCAGTACGCATTCAGTAGAGACTGCACTGTGAGCTGGGAGCTTTCTCTGTGGCAGTGATATGTGGTCAGTACTCTCTGATATTGGGTAGCAGCAGTGTGCTGCAGTTCCTAATCAGCCCCGAGATCATAAAGAGAAAGCCAACACTGTACATTGTGCTGTCTTGCTAAGCCAGGTCAGGGTGAAATGCTGAATACGTTTTTAACTTAGGGTTATTAGGGTGTGACCCCACTGTAAGCTGAGGATGTGTGTGATTTCCTTCAGAGAAAAGTATTTCCTTCCTGTGCAACTGCACTGCTCTCAGGAAAGCAGCAGAGACACAGGGTGCAGGGATGCTGAATCTGCACAGGTTCTGTGCCCTGTCATCTGCTCCTGAGACCTAGAACTTAGTACTCTTTCACTTCTTGCTTCTGAACAGCAGACCTCACCCTGGAAAGATGCCAAGGTGCGTGCCCACTCCAAGGCTGCTGGTGGCTGTCCCAGGGAATGTGACCCGACTGTGATGGGTACTGCCCAGACCTTCCCACCATCCAGCAGCGTTTCATGCTTCTTCACAGCACCTGAGCCCCAAGAGCTCAAGGAGTGTCCAGGGGACCTGGGTGAAGCACTGCAGGTAGGTAGCAAGGAGGGCTCTCAACAGGCCAATTTGTAGACACTGCTTAAGACTGTGTACAGGAAATGCACACACTAGAGTCACTTAGATCTAAAGAACACATCTCTTATGGGTCTGCACAGAAAATCAGCTGCTAAATGACAGTAGCCAGACACTTCGGTTGAAATAACTTTGTATACAATTATGTTATAGCATAAAATAATTAACATTCTAAGAAACTGTATTCTAAGAAATTGAAGCTTTTAAATCCCTAATAAATACTAAGCTCAGATAAAGACTGTCTCTGGGCTGATAGCTACATCAGTAAACAATCACTTTATTGTTTTTTTTTTTTAATGTGGATTATTCTAGGGATTGCCCAGATCCTCAATTTTATGTGTCTGAAAGGAAGACACTTTTGGAAGTCCCCACTCTACTGACAAATATCCCACTACTGCTGTAGGACAGAGTGACTGCCCTAGGAAGCTACTTCATGATATGACCGAAGTCCCAGTCTGGTTCCTGCTGCTTTAACAGAGCCATACATGAGGCAAGCTGTAAGGAGGCCCAAGTTTTAGGTTGAGAGGCTGGTAGGTTAGATATGTGGTGAGGGTCTTGAATGCTGCACTCACATGAAGGAAGGGACAGAGGGGGGCAGCTCCCCAAAGCCTCGTTTGTAGGCACACTGGTCCCACTTAAGAATGGAGCCCCCGCAACCTAATCACCCACAGAGCCCTTCATCATTCGGTTTCAATGTAGGAGTCTCAGAAGGACAGACATCCAAACCGCGGGTTATCTAGGATCTGACCACACACAAGTGGCAATGACTTGTCAATCATGTCACTAATCTGAGCAAAGAACCTGTAAACTATCCATCAAAAGGGACACTGAGACAGTCTCATGGAAAAGAGCAAAACACCTAATGGATAAATAGCAACCAACCAAACCAACCCAAACCTCTTGCTCTCAGGCGGCCTGCACTGCAGCCTCTGCAACTCAAACCAGAAACCCACTATCAGCACAAGTGCCTGCACCTCCGGAGAGCCAGTGAGTGCTTTGGGATCTGTGGTCACAGGAAGCCCACAAGCATTTGCCAAATGGTCCCTGCAGGTCTGCAGGTCCCACTTTTGAAGCCACTATTTGGGTAAAGACAGGCAGGCCTAACCTTCACCCGTCAGTGCCCTTCAGCAGGACCAAACTCTGCTGTTCAAGTGTGTAAGGACATCACCACATTCAAGTAGCCAGGCTCTGGAACCTGTCTGTGCCTAGGACAGCCCTGCCCAGCATGCCACAAAGACGGGCCATCCTGCAAGCCAGGCCCTGGCCCACCTACCACCACCCTTCCCATCCTCAGTGCCCCATCCTTCCTGACACAAGCACTGCTAGCTCCTAGCAGCTGAGTGAAGCCTCCCAGGGTACTCTGGCTGGAGAACCATGGCAGATTCCCACAGCTTGCCTCCTGCACAACCCAGGCTGATGTGTCTACAGCCTGAGAATGGATCCTGTGGGTTCAGAATTACTGCAGGACTGGCCAAGGTCTAAAACCAGGAGCCATTAACCATGGCCTCTCGTGTGACTGTGGGTGGAAGAGACTTTCTTTATCTCTGTTATTTGATGTTGGTGTTATTGCTATATTAAAGGGAAAAAACAATGGTATTTATTTTCCATGCAAAAGAAAAATTTCCTGCAATGACAGAGAATTGAATTCCTATTTCAAATACTTAGTGTTGGTTAATTCTTGATCATACTTCATCCAGGTGAACATCTCCTTCCTGCCTGTCTCAAGAGCAAACAATCAGTGGGGCTTGGCAGCTAGCAGGCATGGCGGGGCCTCCCTGGGCACTGGTGTCTACTATCTCAGGATACAGAACAGATGCAGTGTAGGGCCCTGCAAGAGAGCTGCCAGGCATGGCAAACCCTCACAGTGGCTTTCAAAGGAAGGCATCTCAGGACCAACTGGCAGCATGAAGCAGCTTCCCTACCTGGCCGACTTGCTCTCCTGTCCTCTCTCCCTAACTCCTTTCTCAGCCAACTGGAACAGACTCCACCTCCTCACATCTCTAATTCCCTCTCAAGAGTGACCTTCTCCTCATGCCCTTCTGCCATGCCTCACCCCTTGGACCCCTAGTAACCCGAGTGCCTCCTACTGTCCCCCTGGATCACAAGGAGCGGAGCACAAGGAGCGATTACATGAGGCTCAGGAGTCAGGCAGGGATCCTCCTCCTGATGAGTCCTTTAGGATGAGGTCATCATCCCCCAGCACAAATCCCGTACTCAGATCCCGGTCACAGGCAGCATGACAGGGCCAGCTCCCATGGCCCTGGAAGAAACCCAGGATGCCTGTGTCCCCATGTAGCATCTCACTAGCTCTGGAAGGACAGTGGGGCTGGCTGGCTGGCAGCACTTTCTTCTCTGCAAAAGGCTCTCTGTGCTTCAACATGGGCACTGAGGGGGAGTAAGGCTTCCCAAGTACTGAGATGCCCTTCTCAAGCAGCCTCGGGAGGCCTAACTTCTCAGGGACACATGTGCCTCCAGGGATAGTGCCATCTGCCATGAGCCTATGGCCCATGGGTCAGAGGGAGGTCCTGACTACAACAGACCATCAAAATAATTTGACATCAGGCCAAGTCCTCAACACAAGCAGAGTTAGTGCTAAAAGGTTAAGAGGTTATCATGGTCATATGGATACGACACAGGTCAGAACACCGAGAAAACGGATTAATATTATTATGTAATATTAATATTAGTAGCAATTAAACAGCAGCATGCAGGTAGGTACACAATAATAAGAGAAGAGTGGAAAGGACATAAAGTGAAAACTCACATCCGGGTGGGGGATGGCGTACTGTCCCTGGATCGTGTAGGCCTAGGGAGAGAGAGAGAGACCTTCAGCTCACAATACCGTGGGGCCTTGGCTTTTCACCTACTGGTGACCCTCGCCTGCATGACAAGGACACTCTGATGCCACCTCTCTCTCCCCCACACGTGCTTGTCCACCTGCCCCGCTTGCTTAGGACAAAGGGTGAATCCTTCCAGGGTGGAGGCCGAGAGGCTACCAGGTTAGTGAGCCCCAGGAGCCACACCCTGCCTCTGAGCTCTGGCAGGCTGAGTGCCAGGCCAGTGGGAGGAGGGGACTGGGCCAGGCCTCCACGCTCCCAACTTTCACTGTCTCAGCTTTCATGAAAGACCTAACAGTGATCTGTTTGAATTCCAGAAAGAGGCCCAATGACTGTTAATTGGTCACCAGAGTAAACACTTCAGGAAAATCTTTACTCCAAGACAGCCAAACAGAAAAATAAAGCTTTAATACGTGACCCAAACCAGCTTTGCAAAAGCCAGATTCAGCAAAAACATGGCTCTAAATCAGTCACAGGTTTGACTAATTTGTTACTTTCTTATCAAATCTTCATTGCAGCCCTTGGCAATGGGGGAAGGCACCTCTTTAGGAGGATCAGTTGGGGTCCCCTTGGTTCCTCCAGTTTTATTATTCCCCCATTTCGTATCCATGCCCAGGTCAGCTGGACTGTCCACCCTGTAGGCTCCAAAACCCTCAGCCTCGGAAGCCACAGTAGACAGCAGATCCCCGCAGGTCCCATCAGCTAAGGTGCCTTCTGGGGATGCAGGAATTCCCACCAACAACAGACAATCACAGAGTCAAGGGAGAGCCCCCAGGCCTAGGCAGGGGTGCTACTCAGCCTGGTGGGAGCTGGAGCGAGGCCATGGTGTGTGGATACCATGCCTTTCCAAATGGACATGTGAAATCCACATTCCACCCTCAGGGTCCCCGGCCACCTTACAGAGATATCTCAGGAGGTCAGGTATCCCTTCAGTGGACCCCAGACCTCCCCACAGGTTTGTATCTGCTGAGAGTGTTCATCATAAACAGCCCAATCCAGGGCTAACCAAGCAGCTGGCAAGGGACCCAGCCGCAGCCAAGCTTGGAAACAGACTCAGCCTGGGAGGAGGGGGCCCTGAGAGGCCACAATCTGGGCTGGCCCCAAGGCACTGTGAGAGGAAGTAAAAGAATCTTATCAGATAGAGTGGAGCCCTGCAGAAGACAGCTCCACTGTCTGCAAGAAGCAGAGTCTGGAGAACCAGCCTCAGGCTTTGTGAAGTTGCTGCCACGTGTATCCCTGTGCCACATGCTGTCCCTATGGGTGAGGCTGTCAGGACACTTGGGGCCCAGTGTTCTCTCAGCCTTGCACATCTGAGCTGAGCTCACGTAATGGCTTGTCCTGTGCTGTCTACTCTCCTGACATTTCTCCCTTGCTGCCTCACACACCCTCTTCCTGCACCCTCCTTGGAAGCTCTAACCTCCTAGAGGCAATACCCTGGGGGTCTCCTCTGAAATCTGTGGTCTCCTTGCAATCTGCCTCTGGGCAGCTAAGGTCTGATTCTGGGTGGGTCAGGCCCTGAAAACTCAAAACCTCACTGAGTTTGCCTTTGGCTCTCTCCTGGGACTCTGGCCTGGGGCATAGCCAAGGCCATCGCCAGCCAGACCACCCCATTGTGGTGACAGCCTCAGGAACAAGTACCCTTGGCACAGTGACCTTTACTACCACAACTGGAGAGAGTGGGGGCAGGCAGAGGGGCTGGGATCATAACTGGCTGGAGTCTCCAATGGCAGCTGGGGTTGGGGTCCAGCCTTGCAGCATGACAGAGTCACTGGTTGTGTAGAGTCACCCTCCCTTTGCCTGAACCCCACGTTTCACCATGGGTTTGTTTAAGCCCTGAGGTGGTGCCTGCAGTTCCTGATGTGCCAACAGCATGAGCTTGGGGAAACAATGGAGAAGCTGGCCCAGGACCTGCAGCTATGTGACCTGTGTTCCCTGTGGTCAGTGTAGGACTGTGAGGCTAGGAAGCCCCCTGCCTGGCCAGGCCTGGCTTTCCACTCTGTAAATGGCTGTGCTATGTGGGGTGCTGCATGAGCACAAGCTCCCACCAGTGGGGAAGCAATCAGTGCAGTCACCAGGCAGGGGTGCCACCCTTGCCATGAAGATGAGCTTGGGTGCTGGCGGGTGGTGGGAGCAAAGGCTCCCCTTCCCTCCACCTAAGGAGGACTCAATTGCAAGATCTGATAAGATTCCTTTACTCAGGGAAGAAAAACGTGAGGGGAAGCTTTCTTTGCCTTTTTCTTTCTTTTTAATGATAATGTAGAACCCTGCACCATTTCCATCTCAACTCTCCCTTGGACAAAGACATACACTGCACCAGCTGGACACAGAGCTCTCCCAGGCCAACCCTGGCCGGTGTTCAGTTGTCCATGTGGACAGGCTGTAGAGACCCGGGGTGGCCCTGTCAAAACAGGCCAGACCTCAGCTTCCCTTCTCATGCCTGTGCTCTGGCTTTATGTTGTGGGGCCTAGGAATGTGTATTTTAGGAAAAAGCAGGAATCTACTTCTCACAGTCCTCATGGCTTCCAACAAGAGCCGTTCCTGTGTCTCTCCAAGCTGCTCAGGAAGAGCCAGAGCTAGTTGTGCTGGGGCTGCCCACCGATCAAGCTCGGGGAAGTATCTGAGGGACCTGTAGCTGTCTGTCCCCTGCCCCCACTGCCTCGGTTGACTGGGAGCTCTGAGTCCAGCGGTGGTGGGAGACGTGCACATGAGAAGGCAAGAAAACCTGAGTGCACTAACGGGCAGCGGCGGGTGCTGCAGTAAAAGGCTGAGGTTGGCAGTGGAGGCCGCGAGTGGGTCGGCTCTTACCTGACCACCTGCAAAAATGACAGGGGTGGAGGCGGGCTTTGGGCGGTAGGGAATGGTGGCACCTTTCGGTGGGGACTAGGAAAAGGGACAGGAGAGGGAGAGAGACGTTAGAGCAGCTTTGCTGCTGGCCGCAGGGCACCTTCCCAAGCCCACCCTTCTGCAAAGCCCCTACCCCAAAGGTGGCCCAGGCGGGGCTGCAAGGGCCACAGAGGTGCAGGAGAGGCCCTTGCACCTCCACATGGGTGGCAGGGTGCATGCAACCTGAATCCTCACACCCACTTCCTCCAATAGGGTCCTTCTCACTGGATCAGCCGCCTTCAGCATGCCCCACAGCCAGCCCAGCAGGACACTGGCTCCGTGGCAGTGTGGAGTCTGTTCGGGGAGGCCAACAGGGTGAACCACTTTCTGGGGGACGATGGCTGCTGAGGATGGCTCTATGTCGCTCATTCTCACTGCCTGGTGCTTTCCTCCTAATGCAGCCACTTGGGGCCTGTGAGCACAAGGCACCTACAAGGCCGGGCAAGTCTGTCAGCTCAGTGTCTTCTGACAGAAAGACTCATGTATTCCTGGAGAAAGCTGAGCCTTACACACAGTCTCTCAAGGAAATGGGTGTCCAATGGCTCCTGTGGGCCCACAATGACCATCAGTGGAGACTGGGACAAGTTAGTTAGAAGCGGTGGCTTCACATTAAAAAGAAACTTGCAGATGCCCAATGAAGTATTAAAGTCATGATGAGGTTTACTGTAATTTTCCTTGGTTATTCTGTATCCAGGCTGAGGCGTTCTTATCCCAGGTGGATGTCATTCTCAGGTACCAGCGTTCTCCCTGAGCTCCTCTCTGTGGTCTCAGGTGAGCAGCCCTTCCGGGGTCCCGAGTGGTCCTGTCCCATGACAGCTGGGCAAGCAGTTGCAGCATGAGGAACACCCAGGGCACAGCCTAGCCACGGGCAGTTCTGGACTGCAGCCCCCTCAGGCCCACAGTGTGACTGGACAGCTCTTCACACTGGAAACCTCAAGTCTGCTCCACACACAGGTGGCAGCACAACACAGCCCAGCCATCGTGCTGTGGAGTGGCCTGAGCTGTCTGGGGGATGCTGGTGCTCAGGGAAGGCCCATCTTCTGCATTTCCGGGTCCTAAGAGATGTCTCCAAGTGCTTCTGTGCAGATGGGGCCCACTGAGGGCTCACAGCCAGACTCAAGGTTTGTCGTGGAAGGGACATGCTTTGTGCACCTGAGCCGATGCCTGCACGGTCCCACACTGCCTCCTTCCCAAGTCCCTCTAACCCCAGTCCTCATCCCTTGCTCCACTGGGTGTGACCAGCATGTGACTTCCCCTTGCTGATCCTGAGGCACTCAGGCACAATTACTGATTCCCAATTCCTGTTCTTACCCCTCTGGGCATGGGCCATTGATATCTCAGGAGTGGGCAGGGGGCGTGGCTGATTCTCCTGGGACTTGGTAGGCCTCATCTGTCACAGAGCAGCCCTTTCAGAATTCTGAGGTTCAAAGCATAGCCCATAAGCAAGTCCAAAAGGAGCTGAAAAGTTTATTTGTTTTTGTTTTTTTGTAGGTTTGGGGATTAAACCCAGGACCTTTGCACTGAGCTACATCCCTGGCACTTCTTCACTTTTTATTTTGAGACTGGGTCTCACTAAGTTAAGTTGCCCAGGCTAAGCTTGAACTTGTGATTATGTGGCCTCAGCCTTCCAGGGTGCTGGGATTATAGGTGTTCTCACCATGCCCACCATAGAGGTGTTTAAATCTTTTGCTGTACTTTTTCAGCTACTCTTCATTTAAAAGTGGACCCATCTGTTTTCACACGTGGTGAATCTTTCTCCCCTGGTGAGATGGCCCTGCCCCATCTTTGAGTGCTGCATGATGGGACCAAGAGCAGGACATCTTTGCTAGGCCAACACCCACTGCTGACATCTCACACACTGGTGGCAGCAAGGTGGTGCCAGCGCATGCCCTGGGCACTGATCCACCTGTACAGGGTAGCAGAAGCTTCCTGACACCATGAGACAGGGGACAGCATAGGGATTCTGACAAGACCACAGGTTTAACCCCGAGAAGCTAGGGTCGCCCTGGTCAGGGTCACTGGAGGTGGTGTCCCCCACTGAACCCTTCCCAAGCTCAGGCCACTCTGAGGGTGCATGACATGCTGAACAGAAAGCTACACTCTTCCCACCTCCTTAGTGTGTGTGTCACATGGGGCCCCGTAAGCCTCAGGCTGATGGCGCCAAGCAGCCTTGCCCTGTCACCTGACCAGTGTGTGGTGAGACTTCACACATGAATATTTTGAAAAATATTTTTGACTTCACAAAATATATTTCAGGAAAATAAAACTATCCTGCATATCCAGGCAGCAGCCTCATGGGAGCTATGGAATCAGTGGGTCAGGTAGCAGGGGCCGTGGCCAGCCACAGGGGACGTGATGAGCCTCCAGGCCAGAGGCCTTTCCCTTCGGTAGGGTCCTCCAGCGGCTTTAAGAGAAAGCAGGACTGTGAACAGGGCTGTGAATGTGGCTTCCTTAGGGTATTGGCTGCAGTTTAAAATTCAGGGTCTTTCCTCCCCAGCGTGGACAAGCTGCTCTTGCCGGCTGCACCATCTTTGCTTCTGTGCCTCTTTCTGTCTCCTCCTCTCTTCCACTTGGTGGCAACCTTGTATTCTGTCCTGAATCCACATGGACCTGGGGCAGCCACCTTGCCGTGCTCCCTGCTCCTTCCTGCTACCTCCAGAGAGGGCGCTGCCACTCCGCAGGCTGACTCTTCCTGAAACCCTCGCCAGGACCAGAGCTTCTTATTCAGCTCCAAGACAAGGGGAAGCTTATTTCTTCCAGCACTCTTGCCACTGCCAGAGCAGATGGTGGCCTGGGCCAGATGCTGGCAGCCCCTCCCTGGGTGCCTGACTACCAAGCTGGCTCCCCTCCAGAGGGGACCCACCCACTCTGGATGCATGACTGACTGTGAGAATCCTCAGGACAAACGAGGTGCCAGAGCCGGTGGTGATGCTAGAGAGCCACACTAAGCCCAGTGTGTGAGGGGGGCTGGTGATGTGTGCCAGCCCCCGATGTGCAGACTGTACCTCCAGCATGACCACACAGATCTGCTTGACGCACTGGATGATGGCATCTGGTGTCCCTGAGATGGTCACCGCTCGCTCTGTGGAGTTGGGCAGCATGTCCCCTGCCACCTGGACCTGGGCACCTGTGGACTGGAAAGAAAGGGTGTTGGGAGGGGAATGACAGAGGCAGCATTATGCACAGGGTGAGCAGCACCTCCTGAATGTTTGGGAACATCTGCACCATGGAGAACCCTTCACTGGAAACTATGCCCTCACCCCACATCACTGTCACTTCCCCTCCACACCCACTGGACTGTCACCCACGTCTGCATGTCCCTTCCAGAGTACCATCCCCTCCCCCGCCAGGGCATCTGGCTTCTTCCAGACACAAGAATTCTACAGGCCAGAGAGAAAGGTGGATTCCAATGGGAAAGGAATCATGACAGTGCACCGCCCTCCCAGGTAAAGGAAGGACTTGGCCTTCCTTGAAGCCAGAGACCTATCAGTACCAACCACACCATCACAGTCTGGCTGATGTCCTGGGGGCAAGGATGGCATGAGGAAGGAGCAGAAATCAGGCTTACGTGCAGCCAAAGCCATTGTCCCAAGAGAACTCCCAGCAGGACCATCCCACACAAGGGTACCATGCAGGTCTGTGAACATGGTGAGGTCCCCACATCCCACCTTTCACTTGATTATCAGATTATATGTCCCTGCCACACATAAGCTCCAGGTCAGCACAGCCAGTGCTGGCAATGTGAAGACCTTGCAGGGGATGTACAGTAGTGATGGCTGGGCCACTGCAGCCACTGGGACTATCCGCCCCACCCTGGGCCAGGGATGGTCCTGGTACCTCCCTGATCTCCTTGATCTTGGATCCACCTTTGCCGATCAGGGACCCACACTGGCTGGCCGGGACCACCAGCCTCAGTGTCACCGGGGGCTTGCTGGTGGCGGGGCTGTTACTCATGGAGTTAATGATGTCCTAGAGAGGAAAAGACATGTGTTGGCCCCAGGCTGGTGAGTGCAGCTGCACAGCTGGGGGCACCTGGAGGAGGAACGCACAGGATCCTTGCCCCCACAGCCCTGGTACACTCTCAGTGAGCTCATGAAGAAGCTCTGCTAGGGGAAAGCTAGCAGTCACAGAGCCTTCAAGATTAGGGCAGGCTCCAGGGGTCAAGGAGATGTGGGCCAGATGCCTGCAGGTTTGGGCAGACCCACATGTGAGGTACAGGCGTTGGTGGAGAGGGAAGAAGAGACTGGCCGGGGGCTGGGTCATCAGGAGCAGGTGAGGGGCGAAAATGGCTCCTGCTATCCAGTCAGGGATGAGAGACAAGGTGCGGGCAGCAAAGGTGCAGTGTTTGAGGCTCAGGGGATGACCAGGTTTCTGTTCAGTCTGGCAAACTAGGGACAGGTGTAATCCAGAGGCATCAGCGTGGGAGCACCTGGGCTCTCCAGGGGCAAGGACCCAGCAGAGGCCCAGGGCCCACTATGGCACGCTGAGCACCCACAGACTCTCCACATGGGCGAGGGACAGAGGTCAGCCCTCTCTGGGATTGTCCCTCACAACTCCAAGTCATGATGCATGTCAATATGGTTTACTCTCCACCAAAACATGTCTGCCTGTCTGTACCTCCCTCCGTCCCTTACTTCCTCCCTCTCTCCCCTCCTCCCTTCCTCCCTCTCTCCCCCTGTCAAGGGAGTGGAAAACAACACATCTGATCATTCCCAGTGTGCACTCAGCAGGTGTAGGACAGGGAGTGGTGTTGGGGAGCTCCCTGGGGCTCTGTGCCCTGGTGCTGGGTGGAGACTCCTGATTACTTGTAGCACCAGAGAGTCTCACTGTGGAGCAAGTAGCCTGGGGACAGGGAGGGAATCCAGGGATCCAGGTATTCCAGCTCACAGGCTGAGCTCTGCAGCCACTACTCTGGGAGGAGGCCAGTACCTGGCCTGCAGCTTCCTGGTGTCTCTCCCCACTTACCACTTAGGATCAACCAGAAGGCCAGCTATGCGTCCCATCTAGTTGGCTGCTAAAGGCCTGCTTCTAGAGAGCCTGTCTTGCCAAGGCCCAGCAAGCTTGTTTTAGTGTCAGCCCCACTAGGGAGGGTGGCTGGCTACTGTCCTAGTCATCTCTACACTCACAGCCACCTCTGCACACAGCCTCTGCTGCTGCTGGCACAGCTGTTCACCTCCACACACTGCTCTCTCCCTGGCTGTGGGCACACTCCCCCACCTAGGCACAGCACCCCAAGGGCCCTGTGCCCTGGTCCATGAGGTCCAGGAACAGCTCTGGGTCTGGACCTTGCTCTCTTGGTTCTGAGCTCCAGGGTGGTTCTTTCCTAGCCTAGGGTGTGAGGCTGTTCACTAGCTCCTTGTCCTTGGTGGATCAGGCCGTGCCCTTTGATCCTGTTGCTAGCTCTGTGCCGCTGAACCGCATTTGAATGCAGGCTGCTGCCTCACTTACAGGCTAACAGATTTGTGGTCTCCCTGAGCAGCATCCTCCTGGATAAGCATGGCCATGAGGCACCACTAAAACTGGATGAAGATCTCCTCTCAAGTGTGTATGCAGAGCTTGACTTTGATTCAGATTGTCTGTCCCTTCGGTCCTACCTGCTGGGCTGGGGTGGTGGTGCTGGAGGGACATGAGCACTTTGGCTCTGTGAAGCTGTGTCTAAGCCCCGCTTTCCAGCCCAACCTATTGCAGCCATGATCTGTGCCTGCCTTTCTAGTGGCCTCCTTTCACCAAGCATGGCTTGGGCTGTCAGTGGCCACCTGGAGATAGCAGACTTGAGCAAAAAGGTCCATTTAAGAGGCACCTTATAAAAGAAAGGGGCAAGACTTCTCAGGCTCATGGGCTGAATTTTGGTTAGCGGCAGAGATCTCCAAATGAAATTCTGATTTAAACATTACTTAACTGACTCTTTGGCTAAAGTGAATAAGTTATTTAGTAACAAGCATAACTTTTGTCTAGCAGGGGCCCTCTTCTGTGTCCTCCAGGATCTCCTGTAACAGCCCTGCTCTCCAACATGACTCCTCACAACTCCATCCCACCTTTCCCCAACAATGGTCCTAAGACCCCAAACCCACACAAATGCAGAAAACACCCACCACAAGATGGCAACATGGACGGCTGTGGTGTCTAACCTTAAACCTGAGCTGAAGTGCCAACTATGATTAAGGACTTCCCCATGTAGATAAAACCAGCAATGGTTAGCAGAACTTTAAATTCTTTTGGCGCAAAGGACCCAGGGTCCACAAACCCAGTGGTCAGAGTAGGGCAAGGTCTAAAGGCCACAAGCAAGACAGTTCCAATAGGAACTGATTCAACACATTATGCAGGGGAAGAAAAAGACTTGGGGGGATTTCTGGGCAGACTGGAAGATGCCTTCTAACAACATACAGGAGCTGAAGAAGGTGATGGTATGGCTCCATCCACTATCCTGTTTGCTCAGTGGAGTTGAGCCTAATTTGAAGACACAAATTAGGATGGCCCATCAGTGGAAACAAAACATCTGGCAGAATATTCAAGAGGGCTCCAGAAGAAAAATGAGGCAGGACCAAATGAACTTGTGGCCCTGTAGTCCCAGCAGAATGGTGGTCCACTCCTCAGCCACCAGTTGCCAACAAGAACATGAAGATGGTATGAACAGATGCAGCACTGGAAGAAAGAGGATCCTGTCTTCGTCTTGAGGAATTAAAAACCAAGACAAAGAAAAATCTCTCAGTTCAGACCAGGGAAGCTACCCAAGCTACTGCTATACCCTTGACCCTGAGCTGGGTTTGTATGGGTCTAGACCACTGTCCTCCTTCTTGCCTGGCAGGACCCAGTGGGACATCATCCTTGACATATCCCTCTGCAGCTACGTGCTTCCTGTGGGGCCTCTGCTTTGCCCTGGACAATACACTGGTAGACAGGGACAGTCAACACATGTGAACTTTCACTGGCACAGTAGGGTGCTGGGCAGTAAAGCCCTGGGGCACTGAAATGCCTCCTACTTCTCCTAGGCCCTGGGACAAGCCCTGAAGAACTAACATTTCCATGGTGCTTCTGCTCTAATACAATATGTAAAGGACTCCCACCTTGCTCAGAGAATAGGAAGCCTGAACAGGATTCTGTTTCCTGGCATGAGGCCTGGGCAGACCCTGCTGAAAACCGTGACCCAGAAACCTCAGAATTGAAACTGGAGGTTGTCACACTCAGTTGTGTTCCCAAAGTTATCTGGGAGTCCTGATCTCCAGTCTCCTACTTAGAGATGGAGACTTAAGGAGGTTAAAAGGTCATAAGTGTTGACTCCAGACCAATAGGAGTAGGACCTGATGGGAAAAGCCAGGTGCCAGGCGTGTGCCCACAGAAAAGGACAAAGAGGAGGCAGCCAACTGCAATGTAAGGGCAGAGGCCCCAAGAGAAACCAAGCCTAATGGCAGGTGTCTTGACCTTGGGCTTCCCCACTCCAGAGCTGTGAAAAGTAAACATCTGTGGTATGCTGTCATGGTGGCCTGAGTAGACTAAGTATCTGCCTCAGCTCTCCTTAGAGACAGCAGAACATCAACCATCAAAGGCCAGAGAAAAAGCACAAACACATGCACCAGCAATACTTCCGAGGAGTCCATGACTTTCGAATACTTCAGGGGTCCTCACCTCTGCTGAAGCCCAATCTAGCATGAACAGTGAGGAAAGGACACTTAGAGCTAAGATCACAAAGACTGAGGCTGATGCAAATAGAGAATATGGGGGAAAGGCTTCAGCAGATCACATAGGCTGCTTCAATTAAGGGCACTTCAATCCAGTGCCCACAAAGGATACACAGCAGGGGGCATTCAAAGAGGCTGTAGAAAAATATCAGTGTCTAGGCCGGATTTAGCTCAGTGGTGCCACCACCTGCCTTGCAATTGCAAGGTTCCGAGCTCAGTCCCCAGTACCAAAAAAAAAAAAAAAAAATCAGTGTCTAGTCCCTGACTCTGGAGATGAAGGATGGGGAGTCCAGAGAACCCTTCCCCAGGTGACCTCTGCACTTTCGCAAGCATCCCTGGGTACAACAGATATCAGCAGAGTTGTTCATAAATCTACTCATTGTGGAGCGGACAGCTTGGTCAGTGTCTAAAACCAACATCACAGAGAAACTGTAAGAGAGAGCTGAGGGCATTTTAAGGCCATACATCATCTGTCAACAACACAATCCTGAAGAGATGGGAAAATGACACTCAGCTCCAAGGTCTTGAATACCTTGGAATGGATTTACCAGTTTCCTCCTTTCTGGGACCAAAGGGTTGCAGCGATCCCATGACTATTCAGGATGCTAGGGAAATTCCTTGCTGAAAAGCTACAGCCTGTAAGAAAAACTGCTAGCTTGTATGTCTCTGGCCTGGAATATACCAACTTTATATCAACTGATTAAGGTACATATAGTACTTTACTGGAGTCTTTATGATATTTTGGTAAGTGGCTACACTTTACTGAAAAATTATATATCTACACCACTTACAACCTTCGAGGAAGCTGAATAGACCAGTGGCAGTTAAATTTATCAACACTTTCAGGAACAGGGGTGAAGTTCAGTGGCAGAGCCTGGCTTAGCAGCATGCGGCCCTGTGTTCAATCCTAGTGCGCACACACACACAAATCTTTCACAATCCCTTGAGTTCCTGAGGCAAAGGGTCCTACCTGCCCTATGGCTACATGTTCCACTCCCTTGGAGACACCTTGACCCTCTTCTGCAGACTGAAGATGGGAGGGCCCATGTGCACAGGAATTCTACCCTCATGCTAGAATCTGCCCAACAGAAATGGTATAAAACAGTAAGACACACCCACTGCTCTATCCATCCCCAGCAGGTTTAGGCTGTTTTCCCATCTACACTCTTCATGATCTTCCATAAGGAGCTTTTGTTTCCTGAAAGAGATGCTGAGAGAAGCTGGTCTGGGACTGCATTAGAAGGGAACTTATCAGGCACTGTTGGCAAGCAAAACATCAGGGCAGTTCCAGGG